TGTTTGGAAAAAAAAGAGAGGCCTGACAGACGGATCCCTGTTCAACATAAGCCGATTTCATTGGGGAGGGGGGGACGTGTCTGTATCTGACGGTTGTACAAGCTGATTTTAGAAACTGTGACAAGATGTAGCTCTGTCCTAAACGAGAATAAGAAAGAATTCGACCTATTTTTCGAGACACTCTTTTCTCCTCGCAGTTGCCTGAAAAATGATCAAAAATCTTTCGTACTACATTGAGAACATTGCACCGATCAACTTCTGCCGTGAAAATAATATCTTCAGAGAATTTTCGCAATTTTCGAAAAATCCCAAAGTGAAACTTAATTCCACAAAAAGGGGACTGAAAGAAATCTCCAAACTTAATTTTTCAATATTCCACAGAGACGTCAACTTACGATTCTAAGAGCAGAGCTCGTCCATAAATGCATCTACACTCGTGCTAACAAATAAATTAAAAAAAGAAAATGTACAAATTTTCACGATTTTCACGGTACTCTAAAAGTCCTGGAAATCCTCGAGGGGGAAAACGCCAGTGTATCGCGAACTATGGAATGGAGAATGTGCGCGGCGGCTGCGGCGAACGGAAAGGGAGCGGAGAGAGGAGACGATTCACTGGGAAGCATAGGCAGGGTACCACTTAGCAGCTCGACAAACACGCCGCACGAGAAAAAGGCAGGAAAAAAGAAGAGGAGGGTGGAACGGGAAGAAGGGTGGGAGAGACGTAGGAGCGTCTCCTGATTTTGCATTTTTCATTTAGTCCCCTGGTTCCCTTCGGCTGATGCTCTGTATTAGTAAGTACGCGCGTGAATCATGATGCACTCCATCCGCGGATCGTCAGTTAGCATGGAACCGGCGGTAATTCGAAACAACAATGCAAACAACAGAGCATTTTGCGTGCACATGCGTAAGCAAGAATGCAGAAAGAGAGAGAGAGATAGGGTGGATGGTTCTTTGTTCGGTGGAAGTACCGTGTGCACATTTAAATTTTTATACTCCATTTGCACTTTAGGATGTCTCTTCTGCGTCGAAGGGACTCTAAAAACGCTGACTTCCATGGGAATATAACTCCCATATTTTTCTACAGCCCTTTTTAATTTGATTGACCTTTTAATTATTCTTCTTTTGGTTTTTTTTTTTTAGAGAAGTTTGTTGCCGTGTGGAATTGGTAATTATTTTTGCAAGAGAAAACAATTTTTTTAATTGGTCTGTCCCCTGTTTGACGAAATTTTGGATCTTTTTGATCGTACAACTTTTCATAATAATATTCGAACGTGTCTGTGATCTTTCGTGAAAGATTATTATACAAGCTTCAATTATTCCCTTCATTATTTGAGATTTAATTAATATCACCATTGACAAAGTCTGACGACGAGCCTTTCATCTTCGGTACAAAGTGAATAGCTTGAACTTCAATTTCCTTCCTCTTTATTTGAAAATTAATTTAGATTACGGTTGAAAAGTGTTTGAAAATATTCATGAAAAGCGCCTTCTTCCATTGAAAATCTTCCATTTCTCAGTTTACCTTTATATGAAAATTAATCGACACCCCGGTGTTCACAATTATTTCGAAATATGTTTGAAATAGTGCCTCTAAATGATCATAGAACTACAAATTTTTCAAAGAAAATTTCTCAACATTTCCCTATCTTCGCTTTGCGAGGGAAAAGCGATCGAAATCTGAATGCAACGGTCGTCACGGCCGATTTCAACTTTGAGAGATGTTCGCGTATAGAATTCCTAGCCTAGCTTTTCACCCTTTTTCCTTCCAGATATTTTTCACCGAGCTATTGATCATTCCGTCGACAAGGTGTAAGATTGAAAACGTGTCTGCTGCTCGCATAGGCGAGAGCAATTTCCGTCGCGTCCTCATTTTCGACTGTGCAACATCTTTTTGTTAATTTTCAGAACTGTCGCACGATTTTACTTGGAATCGTGACCAGAAATTCCAACGTGGATCGGTCTTATATGACCGGAAGAGCTGTGATCGCAGAAATCAGGAAACGTAACGATGTTGAAGATTGCGCTCGGTTGACCACCGTCTGATTAGTTATTGGTTAATACTACTTGGTCGTTGCTCTCGCTACGGAGTCAGACGTGACATATCTTACAGAATAATTTCCTTTTATACAAGGTGCTTGAAAAACATTAAAACACTTATATGGCAGTTAATTTTCTTAAACAAACAGAATTGATAAGAGAAAATATCTGTAGAAGCCGAGAAAAAATTTCTGGGTTCAAGGAGAATCGAACTCACGACCGTTGGGGCAGCAGGCAAGGACTGTACGCCCATAGCCAAAGTGCCCTCTTAATTTCTTTATTGTTATTTACTTCTTTTGAGGGACATAAAAGCTCCGTTAATATTATAAATGAATTTACCAGTTTCAAAGCCACGAAATTTATCCACAAGGTTCACCTAAGCTCAAACTATCGATAATTAAATTTACGTTTCATTCACAATTCCTCAGTGAATTAAAAAGAACGTTCAGTGGAACTAAACACAAAAATATCATTCAGCTAAAAATAATTCTTCCAATAAAAATGAAAATATTCTGAAATATTCTACGAAAACCAAAGAAACACATCGAACGCAAATCACATTTTCATTAATCGAAACACACGCGAAATTTACATGCTCTGCGACAATTTCACCGAAAACCAAAATTCTCCCAATTATAACACAGACCATTTCCCCTCCGTTTCAATATCAATTAATCTAATTTCGCGTATAATTCGTCACAGGCAAGCCGCAATTTTCCGTACAATCGAGTCCTTTTTCCCGCCCAAACAACGAACAGAGTTGTTCAGCCAAAGACAAACAATTTCGTGAAACGACGTGCATTTCAGGACGGTGGGTATAGGGATAATACGCCGCGTTATCCCCTTTGATCGAATAGCCAAGAGTAGAGGGGCACAGTAGTCATCGCGGGAGTAATTACCACGCGGCCATTTAATCGCGTTAATTTCGAAATCACCGCAGCGACCGTAGAACGAGGAGGAGACGGGAGAGATTCATCGGAACAACGTGTTTATACGAACCTTGATTCGTGGCGTTCGTTAATTGCACACTATCCTACCCCTACCCTTTGTCCCTTCGTCGTGTTTCTTTCAATTTTCCTATTATTACTGTAATTCTGTGTCTCGGAGTCGAGACGAACTCGGCTCAATTTTTCTCAAAATGCACATTTTCTTGAAATTTAAATTGTGGCGACCGCCACAGGGAGCCTACGTACCTAGGCCTGGCGACTCTTGGCCCTCGAGGCGAAGAGTCGAGAGATGTTTTTCCAAAGATCTCCGGGTTTCTTCGTCCTCGAGGACAAGAGTATCGCCTTGGCAATGTAGACCCGCGCCCCCACTTCCTGGGACTTTCCCAGGGAAAAAGGGAGCCCCGAAAAAGGCACGAGGCTTTTTGTCGTGGACATTCTTACCACGTGCATCGTGTCGCCTATACACTTTAAAAATCTAAAGATTTGTAAAATTTTAAGAACGAGGCAGAGGCTTATTTAGAGTCACTTGCATCCCAAAATTCAGCGGACAAAGCTGAGAATTTGGAAATATAATAATAATTCTGTAGCTCAGAGCTAAATCGACCCAAGACCTGTATTTTAATTTTGCAGTAGAATAAAAACATTTCAGAAAAATTGCAGGGTTTCAGTATGCAAATTTTGAACCCCAGAAAGTTCATGAGAGGGTAAAAAAATATCCACAAAGTTTTAAACTTCAGTTTGTTTTCCTTTTTTGCAAAATAGGAAAATAGGAAATATCATTTTTCCAGCAATTTTTCGCACCCGGAATCCTCTCGAAACGGTCGTGAGCAACGCGATGCATGCACAAACAAACGTGGAACGGTGGGGAAAATGGCGATGAAACGAGGAGGAAAATTCGCGGGAGACGTTGCTTTTATTTCATTTCGACGAGAGAAAATGATTCGGCGCGTCGAGAGGAGGGAGGGCGGCTGTTGGCCCTGGCCGTTTAATTAAATCAGTAATAGAGAGACAAATAAACTGCGTGATTTCAGTGCGGATGAATTTCCGCATCGATGGAACTCGTTACACGCACACACGACTCTTCGATGATAACTGAATCGCAACGGGGCCGCTGAAAGGAACGCGATATGAATTTTTGACGATTGAATTTTAACCTTGGATTTAACTGAATCGATCGAAACGATCTTTGTGTAATTATAGAGAGAACGCTGCAAATAATTTTGCTCGTTTCAAGTTCCATCGGTTTGCCAATCTGAAACGGGCGAAAAAGGAAAGTGTTTTTGTTATTTTGACATTTCTATCGATGTACTGGAATTTATTTATCGTTCGACGAGTCGCAGATATACGGAATCTGTCGTCAATCTGCTTACGAAATATTTTCACACTCTTGATAGTTAGAAAAATTAATATTTTCACGCGAAATGCGCGGGAAATATTAGTAAAATTAATTTTTTCATACGAAATGCGCTGGAAATATTAGAAACATCAATATTTTCACACGAAATGCGCTGGAAATATTAATAAAATTAATTTTCTCACACAAAATGCGCTGGAAATAATAAAATTAATTTTTTCACACGAAATGCGCTGGAAATAATAAAATTAATTTTCTCACACGAAATGCGCTGGAAATATTAGAAAAATTAATTTTTTCAAACGAAATGCGCTGGAAATATTAATAAAATTAATTTTCTCACACAAAATGCGCTGAAAATAATAAAATTAATTTTTTCACACGAAATGCGCTGGAAATAATAAAATTAATTTTCTCGCACGAAATGCGCTGGAAATATTAGAAAAATCAATATTTTCACACGAAATGTGCTGGAAATATTAATAAAATTAATTTTCTCACACAAAATGCGCTGGAAATCTTCTAATATTTTTTCCACTAAAAAATTACATTTTAAGTTTTTGACCATTTTCAGTAATAGTACCTTCTCCTTTAAACGAAACGAAAGTTGAGCCACTTCGTATGAAACGATAAATGGTTGAAAGTGAATTTTAAGGACTCACCTGTGCATCTGCAAGGATGCGTTGCATCAAAGCCAAGGTGGGGTGCGCTGTGAGGTCATCCTGCAGGGCAAGTGCTTCGCCTTCCTTGTTCAAGCGGTTTAAAGTGTTGAAGGCTGAAACAAATTATAAAAAGAATTACGAATAAGACGAATTGCAAAGCAAGCAAGAACACACACCAAAACCACTTCCAACACCAAGCTACCAAATTTACCCTTAGCAGCAACAAAATCTTCACACTGCTCCCAAATTACCAAAATGAAGCGCAACTACTTCGGTCAATCGCAAAATTCTACGTATGCACGCCTTACAAATGCAAACCTAACCTAACCAAACATTTCGATTATTGGAGATGACAGAAACATTATCCACAAACTTCTCATTTCCCTTGAAAAAAAAAAAAAATAAAAGATATTTCTGTAATACAGTCAATTTGGGCTCGTCGGGTTAGAAAGGGTTAAGTAGACTTCGCTTATCCCTGGGACAGCAAATTTCGGGTCAAATGTGACCCGATGCTAAAATTCTTTTCATACGCAAAAAAGAAACGAATTTCTTCATTTTACCATGTAAGCTTCGTCTTTATATTTAATACTAGGTTTACGGACATTTCTTATACACCTATCTCTACGGAATTCCCGTGAAATTGACGCGAGAACGAAACGTATTTTCTTATTTTATTTGACCCTTTGCACTCGGAGGTGATTTTGATGTAGAAAAGGTTGCAAATCGGAGGTTTGAGATTTTTACAAACTAACGTAGAAATAAAGTATACTATTTTATTGAAATATTTACTGTATTCTCTATTTCACCGTGGTCAACATATTTATGGAGGCCCGTAGATCTGTTCTGTCTTCGTTAATTATTTACCAAGTGACGATTATTTAATGTCGCTTCTCAATTGCCACTCGATTGCAAAGGGTTAAAATTATTTTCCTATTTCATTTAATATAAAATTGTAGTATCGGGGCCTCCATACCCAAAAATAGAAGGGAGTGGTTGGCGTAGCGCGCAAAGCCTCGGCTTGCCACGCCGAAGGTCCCGGGTTCGATTCCCGGTTGGGTCCCTCAATAGTTTTCCCTAGGTTCCTACAAAATTTATAATAAGCATAATTCGAAATACGTCAAAATCACGAGTCTTACAAATCTTTCGAATATCAGTCGAAACGAGGGAAAGCCGGATCATAATTGACCCGGCGTCCGTCGTCGGAAGGTTACAAAGAGACACCAAGACGCTATATGAGATTCTGTCGAACAAGATGGCCGCCGTCGTCGTAGTCTGTCGAGTCTCGTTCATCTCGCATTACCTTCTCGTCGTTGCTGAGACGGGATAATTGAATTCTCGTAGCATGGTGTGCTCTCGTGGCGCTAAGGTGGAAAGGCCTGAGGGGTGCCAAACTGTTATCGACAAGTTCGTGAGAGAAGCTCGTTTCGGGGCCATCGTAGTCCCTCTTTCCTTCTGATATATCGCGTTCGACTCTCCACTGCGCTTTGATGTCGAACACGCGCCACGAGGAGAAACTTCCGTACCAAGGGAAAATCATTCGAGCTCGATTGACTCCCGCCTAGAGAACCTGAATTTCAGACCCTTTCCACCCTGGCCACGCGCGTTCTGGATCGTTTGACTAATCGCGATTTTGTAAGCCTTACGCGATGAGAGAGTTTCAAGTGCTTCGCCACGATTGAAAACGCACAAATTCCCCTTTTTCCTTTCTTCTCCTTTTTATTTTCAGGTGAAGAGAAATTTTCACGGAGGTACAAGTTCGAAACGCTGGGGCCGATTTGAAAATTGAGGGGTGAAGCTTGGAATTTTGTAGAGACTGAAGGATATTCTGGATATTCCGGAAATTTCGTAGAATCTGGGAATTAAAGTGTTCAAAGCGAATATGGAAATTAAGACGGATTAGGAAGTGTGTCGTTCAGAAACGCTTCGAGAATTTACGGGCACGTAAATTGGGGTGTATTGAAATTTCAGTTGGAACAACGTTAAGAATTTAGAACTTTGGGGATTGAAATTTGCCAAGAAATTCGAAAGCTGCGAAATTGAAATTGAGGAACGATAAAATTGTTATTTCAATTTCTGAAAATCGTAGCTTATCGAATTTTCACGAATCGAAGAACATTATTTATCAAATGTAAATATTAAGAATTTATCACATTTTTGCAAACTATTTCTTCCTTTTTTTAAACACAAATATTAACGTTTTCTGATGAATGAAAATTTGATAAGAATATAAATATGTAATTATTTATTTGAAAATTTACAGAAAAGAAGAGCTTCGGGAGTTGAATCGAGAAACAAATTTTGTCCTTGATACAGCAAAAATGGAAAAAGAAGATAGAGAAACTGTTCAGACGGCAAAGATTCGCCTAATTTCGTTTACCGGGCAATTTGCCGGGTGTTCGCTTTCGGCCACGCTGTAATTGCTCGAATTTGAAAATGAATCAAGCCAGAATGTTAATGGTTCGCTGCGTGGCGCGCAAGCAAGCAACCAAACGAATTTCTTATCTCGTCGCTTAATTACTCGCCGCGCGAGCACAACTTCTTGATGAAAGGATGTACCCGCTCAAGGTGCGAGAGACCGGGATAAGCTTAACGCAATTACCCCGTGAATTATTTGTTTCTCCAGCCGTGGAGAACAAAATGAAATTGCCTGAATCTCGGCAAAAATTTTCGTAAACGAACTAATTGACTGGAAAGTTTATCTGTACAAAGAAATTATGGAGATATCTGGCAGAGCTGGTGGAAAGTTTTTTTTTCGTCTGATTGTGTATTTAGCAACTTGAGGGTAAGTAGAGGTAATTTTGCAAAATAGTATTTTACCTATGCATTCTTTTCAATTAAATTAATTCAATTATGTTGAAGATTGTCGAGTAAGTTTTTTAAATATATTTTTCAGTAAACATACATTTTACAGATTAATGATTTTCCAGTAGGTAATAAAATATGTGATTCTGTTGAACAAGCCAAAATATTGAAACAGAATATTCTATATATTAAAATTTCATCTATTTCCAATGAGACTCTTTAGAATCACTCTATTACAGGAATATCAAACAGACTATCAATTATTCAGTTTACCTAAGATCAATCTAATTTAATTTCCCCTTTCTGAAATAAATCCTGTTTCACTAGAAAAATTCTTCAAGACAGTGTAAAATTGGACAATGTTTCTTCTAAAAATTTTTACACTACAATCTCGTATCAAAATCTCTATTAATATCAACTTTATACCCTATTGAAGTCTACCATTAATTCCCAATGCAATTTTAGTCAAATGTAACCCTTTCTTAATTTTGAAATTTACTATTCAAAATTTCTTATTTTCCGAATTAAATTCTCCAATTCGGTTTGTTAAATTAAGTGCGTAAAGGATAAAATTGAACTAAAGTGAAATCACACCAAAAGGCTCCGACGGTATTTATACCGCGAGCAAATTTTCCAAACCCCTATAGGCGTCCATTGTAACGGAAGAGTTCCAAAAAAATCTCAATTTCCCTCAAAAGTCCAATTACTCCTCGTTAAACTCCTCTTCGATTAAAACGAAAAAAAAGAAAAAACACGTCTTACCGACGGACGGTAAGTTAAACACGACTGATAAACGATCACCGGTGTCACAAGCAACGTCTGAGAATCATTGATATGTCCAGCGTCGTTTCGTGCCCCCGGTCGGAGGAGAGACAGTTTTACGTTTAAGCAAACGTCGGAGTCGCGCGAGGACACCCGGTGCACGCATCGGGTTACGGTCAGGTATGAGCATTAAAGCACATAAAGGACTTACGCGGACCTAGGCGACCCTTCTCCGCAACCTGGTATATAGGTCTACGTGCAAACACGCGAGCACGTTAAGTGCGCTTGCAGGCACGAGGCCTCGGTATGAGACCAGCAGGGAACCGCGAAAGGGTTAGAGCCTGATATATGGGATAGTCCGATATTATGCGCCTATGAGCCTATGCACGCCCGTACGAATATTCTTTACGATCTTTCGCGTAGAATGGAACCTATTCAATATGTTGAGGTACGACCACGCCGATGGGGGAGAAATTTTTCACAAACTTCACACTCCACCGAGGACTTTTCTCAGGGAATCTCCTCGAGGCTAATACGATGAAATATCGTCGACTGTATTTAGCGTGCACCGGTTTAATGTGCGGGTAGATGAGAATTTGTTTGCGTATGTACTGCGAGAAAATGGGAGATAGAATTTGTGTATGGTTAGTGCGTGGAAATTGGTGTGTTTGCGTGGGGAAAAAAGTTAAACTTTATAGTTTTTGTGTTTGTGAGGGGAATTAGGTGGACTGGTAGTTTCTATTGCTTCGCAATTTTTTTGAGCGAGATTGTTGTAGTGCTGGTAACGAAGTGAAAATGCAGCGAAGGTTGAGCGATGGATGTAGACACATTTTGAAGGTTACAGGTAAATTGAGAGAATTGAAGTTTAAATATTTAAGGTATGAAAAATACAATTAACAAAGGAAAATTCACGCTAAAAATTCTGCAATTGAAAGAAAAGAATTAACCAAAATATTCGGTAATTTTGTTGTATCGAAAATTGCACACACAGTTTTATAAATGTTTCAATTATATCTTATCCCAGTTTCTAAAATCACCTTCTGTATAAATTCTGCAATTAAAAGAAAAATTGACGAAAACATTCTCGCTGAAAATCCTGCAATTGAAGAAAGAAAAATTGTTGAAAATATTCGCGCCAAAAATCCTGCAATTAAAAGGAAAACATGACGAAAATATTCGCGCCAAAAATTTTGCAAATTAAAAAAGAAAAATTGACGAAAACATTCGCGCTGAAAATCCTGCAATTAAAGAAAGAAGAATTGACCAAAATATTCGCGCTAAAATATATAAAATTAAAAAAAAAAGAAAAGAAAAATTGACGAAAATATTCGCGCAAAAGGTTCTGCAATTACAGAAAAAAAGAAAAGGAAGAAATGACGAAAATATTTCGTTGTACCAGAAGTTGCACAGGTATTTTTCTAAATGTTACACGGTGATTCACCGCTTTACCAAAAGCCATTCATCCATGAGGAGCGACGGCGGTCCTTTCGAAGCCAGTTCAGCCTGCATCCACTATGTTATCGTGCTTTATGAAGTACCAACGACCAATCACCAAAAAAGCCCCCAATGTGCACACCACGCCGTTAATCCCTGTGTACCATTTATTACCCCGCAAGACTCACCTTCCTCGAAGGGCTGCGCCCGTTTAGCAAATGCCCTCGAGAAAACGCCGCGCGGCTTCGAGGCCTCCACGCCGTTTTCTACGGCTGCGCTCATTTTTCTGAGTGGTCCTTCACGGAGCTTGTATTGCCAGGACGGATAAAGGGACCATCTGAAATTCACGTTACACTCTACATCTTTGTTCGAGAGAATCGCGCGACAGCTTTTATTATGGAACCACCGTTCGGCATTCGGTCCTGCAATTTACTTTTTCTCTCATCCCTCCAGAGAGAGAGAGAGAGAGAGAGAGAGAGACTTCCGATGGCTGATCATCGTTTAACCCTTGGCAAGGTGTCTGAACCAACACTCCGACTGTAATCACTCACGCGTTTCACACTTTCAACTTTTTAATTAACCTGCGTACGTATATGTTTGAAGTAAAATAGATGGGATGTTTTTTTTTGGAATATAGACTTTCGAACGAAAATCGAGAAAAATTTCTCGGGTTTCGAAGGGTTGAAAGTGAAACTTTGGTCCTTTAAATTTTCAGTTAAACTGTGTGCAAAAATTTGAAGTAAATAAACTCGATGGAATTCCTTTTTTTTAAATATTGACTATCGAATAAAAATCGAGGAAAAATTTCTCAGGTTTCAAAGGGTTAAACGTGGAAGTTTGCACCTTTGACCCTTTAAATTTTAAATTACCCTGTGTATCGGTGGAATATTTAAATACTGACAATTAAATCAAAGTCAAAGAAAAATGTCTCTAGCTTCAAAGGGTTAAACGTGGAAATTTACACATTTGACCTCTTGACCTTTCAAATTAACCCGTACCTAAAAATTTTACGTAAACACGGTAGAATTTAATTTTTGGAATACTGACTTTCAAATGAAAGTCAAGAAAAAATTGCTTTTTATATGCTTTATAATAATTTTCTCATTACTATTCAAATCTAAAATGATCTAATCCACCACGAAGAAACTGTATCATCCGTTACCCAACCATGGGAATGCAATATTTCTTACTTCTGCACTTTCCTTCGCGCCAGGTGTAAGAAAAATAGAACAAAATGACAAAAAGAACTGAGAAATTCAGTTCGTATGAAACACCCTCTTTCCCACATCGATCATTCGTCGGAGTACAATGACGTTTTGCAACTTTCCCCTCGTCCCGTATAAGTACAGACGTATAACGCCGTATCCGTCTAACAATACGTTATATTACATCACAACATGTAATATACCTGTATGTTAATTAGTGTATTCTCCAGTTAAAATTTCCCTGTAACGAAATGTAGATTATCCGATTAACGAGGGGAGATTAAGAACAAAGAATTGCTCGCGGTGCGCGTCGACGAAGGAAACAAAGGGTAAAATTCAGTGAAACGTTGCATCCGCGAGTCTTTCCCTTCAATTAATCGCTAAATCTTTGTAATCGTTGCGAATGTTGAACGTCGAGCGTGGAATATTTGAAATATTCCGCGAGAATTGTTTCGCTAATTGCGTTCAACACGATGAACTAATCAAAGGTAAAGAGTGAAGTTCTTTTTTCTGTTTGAAACATTGGTGAAAAATTCTGGGAAATTCGTGAATTACGAATACATTTTCTGCGGAGATTTTTCACGGAACAATGGAAGAGAGGTCTTCAAAATTCAGGAGGTTTGATATTTTTTTAGCGAACTAATTGTCTGTGAAATTTTGACAATGTATGGAAAACGCAGTGGCTATCTTTTTCAAAGATTTTGTAAAATGAAGAAATTTGAATAAATAACGAGAGAAAATTGCACGTGATTATAAGATCGATTATAAATAATATACTATTCTATACTAACAAAAAAAACACCAAAGAGAATATTATAGCATAAGGGAGGGGCAATAATTAATGGGTAATAAGTAGGATGATAAGTAGGTAGAGTACGAGGGAAAGTGAATGGAAGAGAGACAGAGAGCGAGAGAGAGAAGGAGAGCAAGAGAGAGGAGAGAGAGTGAGAGAGCGAGAGCGAGAGCGCACGAGAGAGAGAGAGAGAGAACGCGGCGGGGAGGCTAATATAAGAATCGTAGAAAATCTTTTCTGACGATCGTAAATGAACTTATTTCGTTGAAACGTACCGTGTAAATCCCGAACGCAATCCATCAGCGCGCACAAGAGAGAGAGCGCGCACGAGAGAGAGAGAGCGCGCACGAGAGAGAGAGAACGCATGAGAGAGAGAGCGTACGAGAGAGAGAGCGCACGAGAGAGAGAGCGCACGAGAGAGAGAGCGTACGAGAGAGAGAACGCTTGAGAGAGAGAGCGCACGAGAGAGAGCGCACAGGAGAGAAAATCCTGAAATTTCGCGAAGACACTTGGAGAACCCAGTGTAACATACAAAAATGAATACAAAAATAAGAAAACGAACTGAAAATATTTGCGTAAAATCAGAGTACCGTGTTTACGATAATTATAACATTAACCGTTTGAGTCCCAAGCAGCGCGATCGCGCTGTTTAGATTTTCTGTCGAAAAGACCCGGTACATTTAAACGCTGTGGACAACTGACGGTGCACTCACAATCTGTCGAAACAGCGCACTCAATTTTTCGAGATTTATGCCATCACTTTGCCAACTGAATTAAGTTTGTCGACGTGAAAACAAGCGTGATCCCGTCACTTGGCACCAACAAACAAATTAAGACAAGCGCTATCGCGCTGACCGGCATTTGTCGCCCCAAAGAAGAAAAGCGCTATCGCGCCGCTTAGCTCTTTTCGCAATCAATTAAGACAAGCGCTACTGCGCTGTTCGGCATTTTTCCATAGTGTATTTTCAACGACTCCTGGGACTCAAACGGTTAATTACACAGCTGACGTAAGCTAAGTTAATCTTCTAATAACAACGCGGAGGTGTATTAATATTTACAGCCACCTGAAGCACTGTAAACCCGATAACTCTTGTTTATCGTCCCGGTTGTAAAGTAATATCATTACAGGCCAAGCTTTGACAATATATACAGTGATCCTGGGATAACATCCCCTAAAAATTCGACGGGCTTACGGTCCCCCATGTTACAGTGTACACACTGTGTGCTCCCCCCGTCGTGGAACTCGATATTCGATCGTCATAATTTATCATTACAGAGGGAAAAGTACGCGCGTTCGATAAATCCTCGCTACTCCGGAGCAAGTCGCAGGCGTTGATTTATGCGCTCGAGCGACTCCAGTCATAAGGGAGACACAACGTGTCCCCGAGCTTATGGCAGCTCCGAACCCTGTCGATACAGGGGGGAAAAAGGAGAAATTTACGGGGGGAAAGCGACCGACTAACGAGTTGAAACGTGGAAAAGTGGAATATTCGTTTTTAGGGTTTCTTTGGTTTTTGCTTTGGTCAATTTGAGATTTTGGGGTTCAGGGAAGTAGGATTGGTAAGTTTCGACGTACACAGGTGGATATTTTAGAATTTTGGAGTGAAAGGTAAACCAGTGAATTTGGAGACAAGTTTTATAATTTTTGATTCTTTCGTTTTATTGAACTTGGAATTTTGTGATTCCGGGAAATAATGAAATTTGCTATCTGCATTCACTCGTGAATATTCCACAATTTTGGAGTAAAGAATCAACGGGTGGATTTATTAAAAATTTTTTATTTTTGATAGAGAAATATTGGTTTATGACTTTTTCATTTTATTGAATTTGGAATTTCGTAAATCGGGGAAATAATGAAATCTGCTATCTTTCAGCATTCACTCGTGAATATTCCACAATTTTAAAATAAAGAATCAATGGATTTCTTCAGAATTTTTTCTATTTTCGATATTCCATCGTTGCAGATAAATTGGATAATTTGCATGGAAACGTTTGAAGAACTAACTGCCCGCGTTTTCAAGAGTAACGAGAAGATACGAGTTTATTGAGAGTTACAGTTGGGAAATATAAACTGGATTTGGGACTGCAGGCGTGATTAGAAAGCACGCAAACCTGTTTCAAAATCAGCTACTAATTCCGATTATTACAGAGAAGCGACTGTCGTTGACACGTTTATTCCAGCCACCGCAATTTCTAACGTTCACGACCCCCCAGAGTTCAATTCTGAAATGGACATACACCGATTTGCCGATCCCTTTTGTCAAACCCGAGGGAGAACGACAGTTTCATCTACGTGAATGCCAATCTGTCTCTTTTCATCGTTTGAATATCTCTTTTGAATTGCACCAAACGTAAATGGAAGCTGTTTTAATTAATAAACGTGCGCGACAAAAGTTCCTGAACTTACGCACTCACACTTTTCCCTTTTTTTTTTTTTCTTAATTTTAACCCTTCGGAGAGTAAAAAATTCGAAATGTTTATGGATTTATTCATTTCAATTTCTACGGGTAATTTGGTTCATTTCGTAATTCATTAACCCTTTCGCCGCGCCAAAAGTGTAGACATTGCGCGCACGCACGGTCTTCAGCGTTCGGGGCTAAGTCTTTCGTCTCAAAAACGCCGTTGTAACACTGCTTTTAGGAGCAAAATAATTCTTGTTTATAGCAATGTATTTATAACATTTCCATGAACATATTTAATTAAACATTAAAATTGATATTTCAATGTTTTAAGCCCAGTTTAAATACGAAATTTTGTGGCGGGTGACTATAGTCACCCGTCGTAGCGAAAGGGTTAATTATCTGTGAAGCTCTTTTAATTTATAAATTTCAAAAGTTCGGTCAATTTGTTTTGGCTTCCTTTGGTTAATTTCCTTTAATTTGAAATTCGTTAATTCTCTACGAAGCTCTCTTAATTTACAAATTTCGAAGATTTCAAATTAAAAAAAAAAAGACTTTCAAAGCTTAGATTGCAAAAATTTTGGAAATTTTTTTCTTTACTTTAACCCTTTGGCATTCTGCGAACCTTTTGCAGCGAAACTCTGAAAAAGCAAAAATTCCAAATGTTCACGAATTCCTTAATTTTCATTTCTCCACTTCACAATTCGTAATTCTCCGATTTCAAAAAGAAACCCCGAAGAGAAGAAAATTCCCGTCTACTCCCAGCGACAAAAATCACCGAAAGAAACTCTCTATTAGACAAAGGAACCGAGCAAATGTGTATTCGATTCGCGTCGGCGTGAAACACAAACGGCAAAGAAACAGTCTCGCTAAGAAATGGTATTT